ATCTAAAAGAAAATGGAAAATAGGTAGAAGCAGTAGAATAAAAGAGCTATTCCAAGCACTTAGTGGTTGTGGGATATGAACATACTCTTGGTAAAAATGTATGATAAATGAGTTTGTGAATGTAACTTCATAGTAAAGAATTTGGCTAACATTCAAGAAGCCTTGGATTCTATCTCCAAAACTATACTACACCACACACACACACACACACACACACACACACACACACACACGTAACATTGGCAATTTATGATTTTTAAAATGCAATTATGTTTCTATTTTTCATTGATATTGGAGTATTACAAAAAAGTGTAGCCATGAAGAATTGGACTCAATTGTATAAATCAGTTTAATTGACAACTGTTATGAATTTCAAGCCAAAACACATGCCCTTCAACCTATGCATGAACAAACTCTTTTAAACCCATATAATTGAATATTATTCAGCAATTTAAAAAGAAAATAAAAGCTCCAAATGAATAGTCATTCACCCATATACAAGATTAGCTTAAATGCATCTTGTCAAGAGCAAGAAACTGAACTTAGAAATATGTTTAACATGCAGTTCTTCTCATCCAGTGCTGAAAAACAGGCTTGGCATGGAGGACAGAAATGCAGACTAGCCTCCCCATTGCCAAGGTATAGGAAGAGTATTCTTTAGCAGGGAGCATGAAGCACTCTATGCAGTGTTGGTATTGTTTTGTAGAAACCATGTCTATGAATCTCTGTTCTTTGTCAAAATTCACTGAGCAGTAACCCAAAACAATTAAGTTTGCTATAGGTATTCAAGAGGAAGTTTTTTTGTTTTGTTTTGTTTCTGAGACAGGGTTTCTCTGTGGCTTTGGAGGCTGTCCTGGAACTCGCTCTGGAGACCAGGCTGGTCTCAAACTCACAGAGATCTACCTGCCTCTGCCTCCTAAGTGCTGGGATTAAAGGCATGTGCCACCAACGCCCGGCTCTAGAGGAAGTTAAAGTGTGACAAATGAATCTACTTGTCGTCCCATGACCACACTGAGGAAGGAGGAGGAAGAGAGAAAGAGCTTGTTCAAGTAGCCTTAAAACAGAGGTTTACAGAAAGAAAAAACAGATTTGTGTACAAGCATTTGTTCTAATTGATCTGTTTCGAGGCAATTCTGAAAACATTTGAAATCTCTAGTACCATAAAAAAATCTGTAAGTATTTTGGAGATAAACATAGCAAAGGTTCTCACTATTGTAAAGTAAGTAACACCTCATGGGAAATAGCATGAACTGTGTTTTTTGATGTTTGTATTTGTATGTGTCAAGTAATAATACACACAAAATGCATATTTATGCATGTGCATTAATATATTATGTATAGTTTCAGTACATTTATTTGGAGGGTTGAGAAGTAGTGGTACCTGAAGACAAGTCAGCACACTTAGTGTTCACATCTTGATGTTAAATGCATTTGTTAGTGACTTCTGTGAAAACATGAAACAAGGACTGAATGGCAGATATCAAAAACTATTCTATACAAGTATAGCTTGGTGGACCAATGAGTTTACAGGTTACTCATAGAAAGTCTTTCCCAGCATAATTAGTAACTCACAAAAGATGTATCACCACAGTTCCTTTCACAACTAGCAAGCAGTTTCCTCTTCTCTAGAATCTGCTTACTAGGTATATGATTCTGGAAATGTGCTTTGTGGGTCCTGTAATCTTCATGAGCTTCTTTGGTCTTATATGTTTCCTTAGGTTACTCAGTCTGATGAGCCTCCCTTCTCCCTCCAGGAGTAAATACCCCCTCTTAAGACAAGTCCTTTATTGCTTTAATTTTTAAATACTTTAAATATGTATAGCAGTTACTATTCGATGCCCTTTAATAAAGTATTTTTCTTCTCTGTAGAAGAAATAGCTACACCATAAGCTCTGCTTAGATGAAAAGAGGCAGAGATCCTTTGAAATTCCAAAAAAAATGTTAATTTCAGAATACAAGAATGAGAATATAGAAAAATCAACAAATGAACAAAGCACCCAGGTTTCTGAAGGGTACACACACACACACACACACACACACACACACACACACACACACACACACACACACACACATATATAAAGTAAGTTGTTCCATGCAATGCAAAAGAATCATGGAGTAGTCATTTTATTCTTGAATCAACAAATCACTAATGCACAGTTATTTATCTTCTAAGTAAATTCTACATCCTTTGTTGTTGATATGAACCATTTTATTTTCTTTGTAATTAACCATCAGAAATAGTCAAAGTGCACCTGAGAGAAGTGGTAATACATGCAGTTCACCTAACACATTAATGTCATTAAAAAGCCAATATAATGCTAAGATTCTTTACCAACTGAAAGAAGCTTGTCCACTTCAAGAATTCGGATTAACACTGAATGAAAAAAGAAAATAAAAAGGAAAGGAATGGCCATGGTGAGTCCTGGGTTTCAGCACTAGATGAGTGAAAAAAATTAAAAAAGGAAAGAAACATGACCACTCCTAGAGATGGTGGAGGAGAAAGTTTTTTTTATGGATAAAAGGTCATAGACAGAGTCAGGGACACCTGGGAGGTTCCCTGAACATGTCCCTGAGCCTTGTGAGGGAATGGGGGAGGGAAGAAGAGAGGGGACAGAGGGAAACCAGTTGAGGCTGCCAGGAGGCCCAAAGAAAGTAGATGAAAGGCACCAATTAAACAAAATAGTTGGATAATATAGGAAGGGCAGCTCCACCCCTGGGCTGGAGAAGGTTAGGGTAGGGCATAGGGTATGCCAGCTAGGAGGACCCTGTAACAAGTAGGTACTGAGGAATTTGGGGAGGACTAGCAGCCAGGTCCACTTTGATAAGTTAAATAGGCACCTCAGCCATTTGTCCCAGGTTTTAAACCTAACAGTTTTATAAATAGAATGGATGTTGGACAGGCACAATCTCTTCTGCTTGAAAATAATACCAAGTTAGGTAAGACTGTATAGCTAAACAGAACACAAAATGGTACATATGAATAAAATGAACTTAATTAGGGTTCTTTTGAGGATTATTCTGTACAAGTCCAGTAGAAATAGAAACATGTACACAGACTGGATCCCATAAAGAGGAGTTCTGATCTTCAGCCAGTCATAGGTTCACAGTCTGTTGTACACAGCCAAATAAATGGTCAGCTCCTGATCCATGCATTCTGATAATACTTCTGCCTCATAAGGTCTGTAATTTCAGATATTAGGACACAGTGTTATTATCTTGAGTACCTAAGAATGTACTTCCCACAATCTATCAAAACTGCTCAACTTCCAAGTCCTAGTTAAAAGTCAAGGGAGGTCAGGAATTGTCACATATTATTCCCAAAAGTTACAAACTATGCTCCTCCACACAATGTGACAAACGTTGGTAGATGACTACCTTAGTAACTTCCACCATATCAGCTTAGGTTTGAAATATGTAAACTCTTGGATTAAGAATTTTATATGATTTGAACTTAGTGCTGTCTAATGAATAGACAACACAAACACTATTATGCTTTGTCAAATCAGATTTAGTAAAGCATAAATTCACAACCATTTAAATAGCATAGCCTAAAAGCAAAATGACAATTGAAAACAGGGAGGACTGCGACAATTCAGTGAAACTGTGGCTCCTCTCTTTTTGACAATGGAACCAAATTTCTTCATTAAGAAACAAAATATACACTTTAATGTCTATGCCATTCCATAGTGATAATATATGCATGGATGGATGAAGGACAGCCCCATGTCTGCCTGGGGCTCTGGCCCTGGGTAGATAGAAGAAACCACAGGCCTGCCCAATGCCTTATGGTGCTAATTGATGAGGCATCACTATGGTGAGCAAATATATGATGGACTATAAAAAAGAGGCAAAATGGTCTGTCCTGTGGAGAGAGGCAGATCTTAAGAGGCAAAGGTGGTGAGTAAAGGGCTGATATGAACAGCCAGCCTGCCACCTGGGGCCATGGTAATGTCTGGGTCTGGGCTGCTGCCAAGGACCATGTCTGGTTTGATGTCTATGACCCCAAAGGCTATGAGGATAGAGCTGCACAGAATTAGCCCACCCCTCATTGGCTGCAGCATTCTGGAAAGCAGGCCATGCATCTCACCTGGGTGGCTCAGTAGAGTTGACCTTATTGGCAGGGGGCGTGGGTCAGCAGTCCCCAAGGGCTTGAGAGTGGAAGAGCTGGTCGTGTCCCTAAGTCTGCCATGAGATGGCATGAGGAAGGGAGAAATGCACAACACCCCCCTCACACACACACACTGTCCCTTACCACTTGTGTCAGGTTACAGCACTCTGGAGAAAGAGATCCCTGCACATCTCTGGGCAGCACAGCAGAGCTGACCCTGTTGACAGGTGTGGTGGTGAACCAACCCCAAAAATATCAACATAAGAGAGCTGGTCTTGCCCTCATATGCCATGTGATGGCATCGGTGAAGGAAAGATGCTCTACCCCCTTCCTCTCAACACATATGACTAGCGGGAGAGCTAGCCTCAGGGACATGAGAGTGGAAGCGCTGGCCCTGCCTATTGCCAGTTGCCAAACTCAGGAGAGTGGGCCCTGCACCTTGCCTGGGTAACACAGTAGACCTGGCTCTGGTGATAATAGCTGCCCAAGGGTGTGAGTGCAGGAGAACTGGCCCCACCCCTTGGTGAGGGCTGCCTTTGGGTGACGCTGGAGCAGTGTTGGAGAGCTTTCACTGGCAGGGAGGATGAGGGCGATCTGATGGACTGACCAATTCAGCTACTACTCAGGCCCAGAACCAGGCCTATGAGTTGGTTCCTCCCAATATCCATCTGTGACATGATGGAACATATGAAGGAGCTGGTCCTGAAGATCCAAAGTTGCAGAATCTTCATGACAGAGGGCAACAGTAGGATATCCAAGAGGAGTCCCGGTGAGGTCCCAGTATCTATAGTGTAGCAGAAGGAACACCCCCCTTAAGAGTTCTTTTTACGATAGACACTCCTTGGTTTAAAAAAAAAAAAATCTGAGTCTGACCCTATGTTGTTCTCAGGCCATGGTACTTGTGACTGCGGCAAGTGCAAGTGTGATGTGGGCTGGTCTGGGGAAGCTTGCCAGTATCCAATCAAGTGTGACCTGACCCAAAAAATCAGCAAGCAGATGTGCAAGAACTCTCAAGATGTTATCTGCTCCAATGCAGGTAAGAGCTACATCCCTGTACAGTTCTTCATTAAAATAATCAAAATTTGGATTTTAATGGAATTTTATAAACATGTAGAGGTGAACATCTGAAAGAGAGTAATTTTAAATATGTATTTTTAAAAAAAAATAGATAAACTGATAAGAAAAAGGGATGTCATCTTGCTGGGCTGACTTGCTAGTTTGAGATTCTACAGCTGTTTCTGATTCCTCCTTAAAGCAAGGTGTTCACCAGGAATGAATCTGGATGATGTTCTGTATAAGTGGAAAGCAGTGATGTTGAGTGCTGGATTAAAGTGTTGATTATGATTTACCCAACTGACTCAATTATTCTATATTAGAGACTAAGAGTGCTTTGAATTTACACCTTAGCAGCAATGAAGCTGCAGTTTTCAATTCTATGGAAGTTTCAGATACTGGTTTTGAGCCTCCTTGAGGATAGCAAAGTTTTTTGCTTGTTTGTTTGTTTGGGTTTTTTGTTTGTTTGGTTTTGTTTTGTATTTTTCACAAAGTATTTATGTATTTCATCGGAGTTATTTAGAAATACTGCTTAGGAAGTACAGAGAAACTGTTAAAAATAATTAGCAAAACCACATAAAACAGAACTGTTGCAGTTTAGAGTGCAGTGGTAGTTAGATGCTGTAATTGTAATTAATTGCCTCAGAACATGCTTGCACGGAACCTCAAAGTCACTTTTTCTCAATGGTATGGGACCTGAGCATCCAAAGGGAACTACTAAAATTTCAATGCTCATAGGCTGCTCTGTTAGTTCAGCTTCAATTGTTTTGAAATGTAGTGTGAGTTTTAATTTGTTTTTAGAGAGAGATTTATTTTACAGTGACTATGAGTGTGTGATTCATTTTCATTCACTTAGTTGGAGAGTTATTAGGTATCACCTTTTTGGTATCCTGTTCCCATGGCCTTTGCTTTTTTTCTACACCAGCAAGAGAGGGAGAAACTCAAAGTACACAGGAAGTACTGCAGGTCAGAAAGCTTTTTCAGCAACCCCACAGCAAGAAAATGTGCAGAACGAGCTATGAATTACAGCTGTTTGTCTGTGTTCTTAGTTTACTTGTTAGTTTGGGTTTGAGGCCATCTGGGTAGTCAGATCCAGAGGCAAAAGCTTTGTTTCGCATGATAAAGGCAAGCCTTTGATTATTTACAAATATATCCCACCCCTGAAGCTTGCATTATTGGTGGGTCTTTTCTGTAATGAAAGCTTGGACTTCTCCACGGTCTGATTGTGACAAATTGCTTAGAGTAGACTAAGCTCAGTCATGGTGTTTTGCTAATGGAATCAGAGCTATATAAAGAGCATGAGGTGTTGGGATCTATCAGGCCAGAATGAGCAGGCTGAGCAGTTAGATCAGACTGTGTTCAAGACAGTCTCTTCAGTTCTTGGCTTATTGTAGTCTTCTCTTTGCAATCTCTATCTTCTTCTTCTTCTTCTTCTTCTTCTTCTTCTTCTTCTTCTTCGTCTTCTTCTTCTTCTCCTCCTCCTCCTCCTCCTCTTCCTCCTCTTCCTCCTCCTCCTCCTCCTCTTCCTCCTCTTCCTCCTCCTCCTCCTCCTTCTTCTTCTTCTTCTTCTCCTTCTTCTCCTTCTCCTTCTTCTCCTTCTTCTCCTTCTTCTCCTTCTTCTCCATCTTCTTCTTCTTCTTCTTCTTCTTCTTCTTCTTCTTCTTCTTCTTCTTCTTCTTCTCCTCCTCCTCCTCCTCCTCCTCCTCCTCCTCTTCCTCCTCTTCCTCCTCCTCCTCCTCCTTCTTCTTCTTCTTCTTATTTATTTTTTTAACTTTTTTATTTGAATTAGAAACAGGATTGTTTTACATGACAGTCCTAGTTCCCTTCTCCCTCCTGTCCTCCCCTACCACCCCCTCCAACTAAAACCCTATATATCACATATCCTTTCTGCTCCCCCTGGATGGTGAGGCCTTCCATAGGGTGTCATCAGAGTCTATCATATCCTTTGGGATAGGGCCTAGGCCCACCCCTGTGTGTCTTGGCTCAGGGAGCACTCCTTTATATGGAATGGGCTCCCAAAGTCCACACCTATGCTAGGGATAAGTACTGAAATACTACTGGAGGTCCCGTAGATTTCCAAGGTTTCTCCATGTTCCTGAGGGCTGGATCAGTACCATGCTGGTATTCCAGAGTTCCCTGATGTTCATGTCAGCTGTTTCTGTGGGTTTCACCAGCTTGGTCTGGACCCCTTTGCTCTTCAATCGTCCTCTGCATCTGGGTTTCAGTTCAGTTCGGTGATTAGTTGTGGGTGTCTG